CCCCCCCCCCCCCCCCAAATAAAGACATTATTTATGGATGGACCCTTAACTCTTTCTACTCTTTTCGTTGGCTAGTGCAGCGGTCGGCTAATCGCGGCTCTTAAGTGACCCTAATACGTCTCGGCCAGTCGATCACAAATCGGTTGTGACCCCGAAAAACATGGTTCTTGACAGGTTCTTGTAAAAAAAAATGTTTTAAATTTGCAATCGTCCTGCTGCTGATTTTGTTGGCTCTTTTCACTAATGAGTTTGACGACCACTGGGCTGTAGAGTATTCTATCCTTTCCACTTCCTAACTAAGCTACTTTCACGCTATTCCACAATTAAAAACACATTAATCGAAACCATACAACGAACTACACTAATACATAACACGCGAATGCGCCTAACAACAAAGGTTCTAAAACTTGACGCCACAACACACAGAACATTACGCGCTATAACAGATTAGTTCCCAGAATGCATTGCGATGACCAGCTCAAGCTTCTTCTGGTGCCACGACATAATAAATAGAGGGGGGGGGGGAATCACACGGAAACAGCTGGTCTTAATTTGGAAATTTTGGAGTTCATCTTTTATTTTTTTATTTATTTGTATTTTTTTTAACCAAAAGGTGTGCCAATGAATTTTGTGTCTCATCGACGAGTGGCAGCAGAAGAGGAGACGAGCAGACGACAAAATGGTAATGGCGTTGTCTGTCCCCAATGATACAGATTCTGCATACGCNTTCTTCTGGTGCCACGACATAATAAATAGAGGGGGGGGGGGGAATCACACGGAAACAGCTGGTCTTAATTTGGAAATTTTGGAGTTCATATTTTATTTTTTTAATTATTATTATTTTTTTTAACCAAAAGGTGTGCCAATGAATTTTGTGTCTCATCGACGAGTGGCAGCAGAAGAGGAGACGAGCAGACGACAAAATGGTAATGGCGTTGTCTGTCCCCAATGATACAGATTCTGCATACGCGTTGCTAATCCAGTTTAAGCTCCATAGTCATCTCCAGACATGCGTGATGCAAAGGGACTAGCCACTCCGTGACCTTCGGACTCGGAGTTAAAGCCACCATTCTACGCCATGTGATGGTTTGAGTCATAACCCTTCGCCAGTTAGTAATTGTGTTACGTCTATAGGCCTAATTCAAACCCTTCACCAATAATTAGTGATAGTTTTATGTCTATACTTCAAACCCTTCACCAATAATTAGTGATAGTTTTATGTCTATACTTCAAACCTTTACAAATAATCACTGATAGTTTTATGTCTATACTTCAAACCCTTCACCAATAATTAGTGATAGTTTTATGTCTATACTTCAAACCTTTACAAATAATTAGTGATAGTTTTATGTCTATACTTCAAACCTTTACAAATAATCACTGATAGTTTTATGTCTATACTTCAAACCTTTACAAATTATTAGTGATAGTTTTATGTCTATACTTCAAACCTTTACAAATAATTAGTGATAGTTTTATGTCTATACTTCAAACCTTTACAAATAATCACTGATAGTTTTATGTCTATACTTCAAACCTTTACAAATTATTAGTGATAGTTTTATGTCTATACTTCAAACCTTTACAAATAATCACTGATAGTTTTATGTCTATACTTCAAACCTTTACAAATAATCACTGATAGTTTTATGTCTATACTTCAAACCTTTACAAATAATTAGTGATAGTTTTATGTCTATACTTCAAACCTTTACAAATAATCACTGATAGTTTTATGTCTATACTTCAAACCTTTACAAATAATCACTGATAGTTTTATGTCTATACTTCAAACCTTTACAAATAATTAGTGATAGTTTTATGTCTATACTTCAAACCTTTACAAATAATCACTGATAGTTTTATGTCTATACTTCAAACCTTTACAAATAATTATTGATAGTTTTATGTCTATACTTCAAACCCTTCACCAATAATTAGTGATAGTTTTATGTCTATACTTCAAACCTTTACAAATAATTAGTAATAGTTTTATGTATATACGTCAAACCGTCGCCAATAATTAGTGATATCCCTATGCCTCAAATGAGAGGTAAGAGTTATGGATAATGAGGAGTGGAGTCCTTTCAAAATATCAAGTGTCAACGGTTTCAGGTCATTCATAATTCCTAACATTCTTATGTAAATGTTAATGGGAACACGAGGAATAGTAATGTCTCTTAATTGAAAAAAAAAAATTTGTATTCGAAACATTTATGCTGGATAGGCTAGTCTCTAACCTACTTGCGTAGAAATAAGGGTGCGGTGGGATACACAGGGCATCACTTTTTTTTTTAAAATTTATGGGCGTTTTTTTTTGTTTTGTTTCGTTTGTTTGTTCAATTGCAAAGCACACTGCAAGGCGTTTTTTCCCAACTACGAGGCGTTTTTTTTTTCTCAAACTGCAAGGTTTTCCCCAACTGCAACGCCGTTTTTCCCAACTGCAAGGCGGTTTTTCCCAACTGCAAGGCGTTTTTTTCCCAACAGCAAGGCTTTTTTTCTCAAACTGCAAGGCGTTTTTTCTCAACTGCAAGGCGTTTTTTCCCAAACTGCAATGCGTTTTTTTTCCAAACTGCAATGCGTTTTTCCCCAACTGTAAGGCGTTTTTTCGTAAAGTTTGGTGGGGTGCTTGGCCTATCCCGAACTGCACTAACCCTAGCCTCTATGTTTCGTTGATCCACTGGTAGGCCCACACATTGGCGTCTACACAGGGGCAGGGGGTAGGGAAGCAGTTGCTTCCAATTCAATTTTAGTTAGTAGGACCCCTCCCCCCCCCCAGGTTAATAAGAGAAAGGGGAATATATATATATAGCCTATATATAGCCTAAAAATTGGGGATTGAACACTGAAAAAAAACAAACAAAAAAAAAAAAAAAAAAAAAAAAAAAAAAAAAAAAAAAAAAAACATAGATTTCATTGGCGTCTACACAGGGGCGGGGGGTAGGGAAGCAGTTGCTTCCAATTCAATTTTAGTTAGTAGGACCCCTCCCCCCCCCCAGGTTAATATGAGAGAGGGGAATATATATATATATAGCCTATATATAGCCTATACATTGGGGATTGAACTCTGAACAAAAACAAACAAAAACAAACAAAAAACAAACAAAAAAAAAACAAAAACAAACAAAAAAAAATAAAAATTAGACGAGACACAATACTTGCCCGCTCAGTCATCGCGACATCGTTCATTATGATATTTTTTTTACAAAAAAAAATATAATACAGTATATCATAGTGTATAGGAATAGGCTACTATAGAATATATCTGGATTTCATAATTTGATTTGCTAAAAATTCTTAAGAATTATTGAACTATTTTTACCCTCGGATTAAATACCAAACAGAATTGATTAAGGTCCAGGGGAGGGAGGTAGCTTTCCCCGCTCAGGGAGGATTATTATTTAATAAACGCAGACGACCGCGACATGACATAAAGACTAGAAGAGGGTTCAGAGAGAAACCCTGATTCATTAATTCATTTACACCCTGACTAGTATGTGACTTTTATTATAAATTTAGCTGTGACGAATTTTTTTCTAAATCTAATGAAGAAAATGTTTTGTTAAAGTTTATATTAAATAAATGTAGCTGTATGTTTGACGTATATCATATCTGTATAATTATTATAACTGTATATTACATACATATTACATACATAATATTTTTTTTTCAAGGCTGTCCTGGCACCCGCTAGGAGAGGTTAGGATAGCCGCATCGTTTCCCAAACCGTTGCGCATATGCCAGATCATGGATGCAGCAACGTTGTCTATCAGAATCAGCATATATAATTAAATTATATAATCATTTAGCTGGGTTTATTTCTAAATTTTGAGTGGCATCTCTGAAGTTAGCCCTTATCTTTCGTACTTTCAGTCCAATAAGAGTGGTCAAATGAAAACAGTAATAGTTGAGTCATCTGATCTGAACTTTATAAATATTTTATTTTAAGTCACAGAAGAGGCCCTTTAACCAAAGGTTAACAAACTATAAATCTATGTCGCCTAATAAAGGTACCAAATACGGTGTAATGAACTTTAATGTTGTGAAAATATGGTGGTAATGAAGTATTAATCTACCCTTAAGTTAGATTGTTATTATTATTGTAGTTACCCTAATTCTTTTAGTAATAAAAACTAGTAAAAACTAATTACCTAAAATAATAAAGGCGAATGAATAGTATAGTAAAAATAGCCTAACACTGAACGATTTTTAATATTAAATTAATTACTATTACTATTATTATTTTAGTATTACTAATTATAATTATTATTACTACATCAATTTTCTATTATTTCTATACTTAACACTATAAACTGTACTGTACTGAATTATTATTAAATTATTATATTATTACTATTGACAATACTATTGACTATACTATATATGTCTATTGATATTGAACAGTTTATTATATCAATGAAAATGAGTAAGAACTATGATTCGTATAAATTATGATTTGTATAAATTTATTAAATTATAATTTAAAAAGTCTGAATCTCCCCGCCTAAGTTAACTAAATAACTTAGGTAGGGGTATACGGTATAGCGGATAGCCCAGGCCAGTGGTCGGCAAACTCATTACAAAAGAGCCAAAAATCTGCAGCAGGATGATTAAAAATTTTTGAGAGCAAGATTTCTTTTCAAGAACCTGTGACTGTCAAGAACCATGTTTTTCTGAGTCAAAACCGATTTTTGGCCGACTGGCCAAGCCGCACTCAGGTCACTAAAGAGCCACATGCGGCTTGCGAGCCGCAGTTTGCCCACCATTGGCCTAGGCTGCCCCGGCCTAAGATGATTTACTAAATTATACTTAGTCTCAGTATTTAAAGTAATAGGCAATAAATTTCTTTTTGTTGTTAATTACAAAGTAGACCTTCGGATATTTCAATCAATAATAGATACCGGGATAGAAATTTTTAAAATTAAATGAATTATCATTTATTAAATTAATATTTAGTTAATTTAGGCTTATTCAATTTGTTTATTTTAAATCTACAATCACAATGGGCCTGCACGATAATTATGTTAATGAAAATATAGGTAAATTTGGATTAAACAGTACTTGGTAACCGGAGAAACATCTGTCACTGTCCTAAGCTAAGAGTACTAAGACTACCATAAATATTATTGCTACACAATATTATCTTTTCATGCTTTATGCCATGGAATACATGAATGAATAAATACATGAATGAATAAACAGTTAAAGTAGGCCTATGAGCTAACCTATGAATTTAGAAATTAAAGTTTTAAATTGGAAGACTTTATTTTTGTATTTTAAAAAAAAAGAAATGAAAAAGTCCCAAAAGAAATGTTAAGCATTAAATATATCCCTCTGCCTTCAAATTTTCATTATATCCCTCTGCCTTCAAATTTTCATAAGCATTAGAAATATTGTTGATAATTAGCCATCAAATCATCACATAATTTGTTAGTATTTTACCTGTATTAAATATAATTAAATTTATTGTTTGCAGACTGCTTTTGCTGTAAGCTTGTAGTACAACTGAAAGTCAGCGCCTCATCACCTTTTTTTTCTTTCTGAAAATTTGAGTGATTCTTCTGAAATATGTAGAACATCCACTTAAAGTACACTCTTACGGAAAAGGGATGATGACTTTTTTCATTTTAGATTCCACCTCATAAATTGTGTCTTCTGTGAGATATTGTGTATGTGCAATTTTTAAAAATGAGTTTTGAAGTGGAAGAAATTCAAGTGATTGAGCTTAAGATGATGGACAAACGGAAATATTTCCCATTAACCCTTGCCAGTGGGCTGACCATTCGAAGTATGTTATATCCATTCATGCTCATCAAGACAAGATTACAGATACAGAAGGGGAAATCAGTTTACAAAGGAACATTTGATGCATTTTTGAAAATTTCTGTAAATGAAGGAAGATCTGGACTCTACAGAGGGTTCTGGGTATGTCATCCAGTTGTCCCTGTCAAAATTATGTAGATATAATAATAATAAAAATAATAAGAGGTCTTATATAGCGCGGTACCCCAGCCTAGGGCTGGGCTCACCGTGCTGTACATAAAAATTTTATCAAAAGAGACATAATCATGACAATAAAATAAAATACATTTATGAAATAAAGAACAGCAATGTATATTCACCCACCCTACCACATAACTTTTACAAGGCAAACCATTGACGGCTACCAGCAAGATCGTTTTTCGGTCAGAGGAGGGGAATCAGTCATGGTAGTATTATTTAAAAATATATGTTTTGAGTACATATGACAATACACCTAAGTACATTACGGTAGTGGCATGAAATTTGATTAATATTTATATAAATAAACTTGCAAGGCTTCTTTATTATTCAGAATAGTTGGCTCATTATTTATCATTTTCAAATAACTCAATCTAAAATTTATTTATTACCCATATGAGTTTTCAAAGTCTTTAAATTGCTGGTTTTCAAATATTTTGCATTTATGTCCTGCATTTAGTGGTAGAGCTTGATTTTGTTTGTTAATTATGGGTTTTAAATCAAACTACTAAATTCACTGAATGAAGATAGCAACTTACACTATGTTCTCCGTATAAAATCATCTTTGTTATTGTTTTTGAATTTTCTTCATTTTTTAAAAAACATTTTTTACCAGGTGTCGTGTTTGCAACTATTTCCATCCATGGCCTACATCTCAACATATGAGGGGACAAGACACTATTTATCTGAATATGTAGGAATAAAAGAAAACGGCATTCGGTCTTTTGTAGGTAAGCAATATTATGAAAGTAATCATTCTTTTTCTGGGGAAGGGGATGGTTGGGGGGGGGGGGTCTAAAGTAATAATAATAATAAAGTTCATTTAAAAAAACATGGTTCATCCCTAATTAAGGCTCGAAGTGCAATACAATACAAAACACAACAATACAAAATCAAAATACAAGCTAACATACATCGAGGAATATGAGCAAGTAAATTAAAAAGTATTTATTTCTGACCTTCTGTTAGCTACTAATAGACAATTCTTTGAGAAAATTTAAGAAGAAGAGTTTGCCTATGTGCTCTTAACCAAGCTGTTCGACCATTTGTTAATAAATACCCAGTATAAAAGGAAAAGTTTGTCTTTGTTCTACAAGAAACACCAATGCATGTGTTGTTTTTTTTGTTGTTTGCTTTATTGGAGGGGAACCTTCCGTCTCAAGTTAGTATTCAATATTTTGTTACAACTCATTTTCTTTTTCTTTTTTTTTCCATTGTTGTTTATTTAAGATTTAACTGCAGAGCATGTTATAAAAGAAAAAAGTCAGTACCGGTAGTACAAAGTTAATAATTTTTTCCCCACAGGAGGTGGCCTGGCTTCCTTGACCGGTCAAACGTTGGCAGTACCAATAGACATCATAACACAACATCTCATGCTCATGGGAAAGAGAGAGAAATCAAAAAGTATGTTATCGTAAAATTGTTTTAAAATGCTAAAAGATAATTTTAACTTTCAATGAAAGGGTGCTGTCACTTTACAATGAAGATATCATGAGTCCTCATTCTCTATAAATAATCTCTGAAATAAGTAGCATAATTATGGTTAACCAATTTAAAGAAAAAATCAAGGCTACATTTCGTAAACGGGTTTTAAAAATGAATAGTTTTTAAGACATGTTCATTACTTGGTTAGCAGCATCACTAATAGAAGGATGTCACGTGCCTTATAGGAAAATGGTTTTATACTAACTTAAATAACTCTAATAATTATAGATGATTTTAATTTTGCACAAACATTTCTGTACTTGTCACAAATCCAAGTCTTCATTATAATTACTGTTTCTTTAAAAATATAATAACACAGGTTTTATTATGGTTTGAATGCTGGATACCAGCTACATTATTCTCATATGAAGGCTTAGTACCACCTGTAAATAATAAAAGGTAGAATTAATAATAAACAAAAAATACTTTATATTAACGGTATTCTAAAGTTTAAAAAAAAATTATTATTATTATTTGATGTTGATATTTAATGTTACAGACCCTGATCCTCTATCAACTGAGAAACGCGCCCAGATAAAACTATCAACACTTCAACACATTCAGATATCAGAGTCGGCATCAAAGTCCAGATTTGGTGCTGTCCAAGCTATTGTCCATGCTGTCTACAAGAGAGATGGACTTTTAGGTTTCTACAAGGGCTACTTTGTCTCTCTGGCTTGTTTTGCACCAAACAGTGCACTTTGGTGGTTTTTCTATGATTCATACTCAGGTAGATAATTGTTTTAATTGTGTTCTATATTTTATGTTCTATTATGTAGATAATTGTTTAAATAGTTTTCTATATTTTATTTTATGTTCTTTTTCTCGTTCTGAACCTTCTCAACTGGTAAGATTCCTCCATTTTCTGAATTGACATGCTTTGTGCAAATATGGCTCAGTACTTCAAATGTCAACTTTGGTCAACTTTAAGGCTGTCTATTTGACTGGTTGGGGGGTGGGGGGGTGGGGGGGGTGGACGGACGACGACCCTTGACAAATGCAAAACTGCTAGCTACGTTCTTTTCATAGAGATTTACTCTGGAATGCATTTAATTCTAAAACGTGGGCTTTGATGCTTATGTTGACCAGTGCCTTAGTTTCACTTATCATAATTTTGTTTTGTTGCGTTTTTTCAAACATTTTGTTATTATTATTAAAGTGGTCTTATATAGCCTAGGGCTGGGCTCACTGGGCTTCACATAAAATTGGCAAAAGGAAAAATGTAGAAAATTAACATGACATTAAAATACAGTTGCGCAAAATTATTCCCAATATAGAAATAATGAGACGACAATCAGTCAAACACATATAAAGTTGCATTTAATCAGGAGCTTGAGCCTATACGTGCCTGCAAGGCGTAGCCTCGATCTCTAGATAGATCTTAGCCTCCCCAATTGATTTTATATAATTATAACAATATTTATTCAACACTTTCCTATTTTTTAGCGATTAGTGAGTCAGACATCTTTTTGCTAACCGGAAGAATATTACCCAACACACTATAACTACTTGCTAAACGTCTGCAAAAATCAAGTACTTAATAAATATTGCTGTTACCCACTGCCTCCTATGGGGAGAAATTAATCTCTTATTTTAAGTCTATGGCTCGTTTTAAACAGTGCATAACAAAGGACGATACCATATGAGGAATACAATAGCAAAATTACAACACTCAAAACAGTTGCTAATTACAATTAATAAGATTTATTTAAGTATAAATATAATTACAAAATAAAAGAAACATAATTAAAAATTCATCAACTTACAGAGTATGGGAAGTCTTGTACCGGTACACAGTTAATACAATGTGCCTAAAATAAAGTACAATGATGAAATACGAATTAACACATATATAAGTAAATAATAATAAAAATAATAAAGTTCATTTCAAAAACACGCTTCATCCCCAAAGGCTCGAAGCGCGGTACAAAGTCAACAAAATACAAATCTATAATTTACCACATTTAAAACAAACGCAACACTACAAAAACTAATTACTAGCATAAAATACAAATAGGGAACAACTCACGCTTGTCTCGTGAAGTCAAAATATTATCTCCTGAATCTCTGTCCCTTAAGGTTCTCTGAACCCCTTATATATGCAGTGTAAGACGCATTCCAGAAATGCCTTACACATAGCTTACCTTTCTAGTCCACTCCCGAACTTTCCACAAAATGTTTTGAGAACAGATTAATTATGTTTAATTGGTAGCTGTAGTAAACACGCCAAATTGAAACGGAATAGACCACGCCCAATACGAACGCAGCCTAATTTTGTGGTCAAACAGAGTTCACCGCACGGGGACAGTGATGTAAATACGTCTTCTACATAACAGTTGTAATCAAATTATTATTATCATGTTTTATTATATTAGATTATTGTACAGGTCCCTTCTTACTTTGTTATTAAATTTTAATTCCTTTATGGCAAAACCAACCGTACACCTGTCAACATTTAATTTTATTAGAAGTCTGCACAACATACGGCCCACCAGCATCCACTTTGCGGCCCCCGAAGTAACAACATATTCTTTTTTATTATTATTTTCTTAATAGCTTTCCCCTTGTCGTATTTTCTTTCGTCCTGTACAAGTTTTTCATAAAGTTTTAGTCTACGGCTCGCCTTACATTTTGAGTTGTGCAGGCCTGATTTATTATATACTTTTTAAAGTTGATGTTGCATTGCATCAATATCCTTGATGAGATTATCATTACCAGTCAGTCTATCAGACTAAAACATTTTTTATTTTAACTGTGACCTCCATCTTCCCTATTAGAGCCTTTGCGGACCTTGTCAAGCTTTGGTTGCCCTCCCACATTGCTTAGAACGCGCACAAATAAAATTCTCTGAGCGCAACACCACGAGTTTGCTAGCACAACCAGGCTGGCATTTGCTTTAGAAGGACTGCTAGTTTTATGAGTTCCAGTTTGCTCATTATCTTTCATTTTGTATTGTTTAGTTTGTTTATGAAGGTTTTCAGTCTAAACATTCTTTGTCCTGTATTTTCTAATTCTTCTTCTATATATTTTGGGCCCTGGATCATTCTGGCTCCTATTGAGACTTTCACATTTGTATTCTTTATATTATCTGTCATCAAACTAAAATTTGTTCTAAGTGTTTGTTTTCTATAGTATAAATTTATAAGATATAATTTTTTTTCTCCCCAGTTTTATTTGCTAGCCTGACTCCCGTCTACATTCCCCGTTTGGCCATACAAGTTGTCGCGGCACCACTCAGTGGAATATCTGCAGCATTAATAACTAATCCACTTGACGTTATACGTGCCAGAATTCAGGTAAAAGGGATATTTTTTATACTTTTAAATCTTAATTTGAATTTAAAGTTTGGAATTTTCACTATTGTACTCTTTCATATAAAAATTGCTATTTTAATGAAGAATAAGTCTCAAAACTATCAGGTGACTTAAAAATTAATTTTTAAAGATCAAATCTTATATTAATTTTAGAAAAAAAATCTCTGGATCTTATTAATTAAAAAAATTCTTATTTAATGTTTCTAATGTTGATTGATTTAAAACTGGAAGAGTATGTTACTTTTATTGCACTATACCATTCGCAAGTTAAATTGATTCAATTTTTGAAAAAAAAATTTTTTTAGCCCTTGACAAATTATCATCATCACATCTTTTAGTTTCTCAATTTAAATTTCTGTTTGTCATTGGCATAACTGTATAATTTTTTTTTCCTAGGTTGAAGGAACCAAATTTAATGAAACTGTGAATTTACTCTGGAAGGAAGAAGGAGTTTGGCTTGTCACCAAGGGGCTGTCTGCACGTCTAGTCCAATCTGTGACATTCTCTTTTTTCATCATCTTAGGCTATGAAACAATAAAAAGGTGGAGTGTTTTAGAGGAATATAAAGAAAAAATAAGGTGGTAAATCAACAAATGTTCTAGACAAATAAAAAATAAAAAATTCATATCACAAGTGCTTCTGAATTTGTTATTGAATCACAATAGTACTACAAATATTTTATCTCTTTTTTTAAATTTTTTTTTTTTTAAACTGTGCTTACTTTTAAGAAATGAATTACAATTGAGGGTAAATACGTGTCATTACCATACAAAAATTTATGTTATTTTGAGATTTAAAATGCATTTTGTGTGAGGTAAATACATGAGAACATTATGAATGTATATTTAAATTTGATTACCGGTATGTGAGAATATTTAGAGGACATATCTTAATGTGTAAAAATAATATAATGGTGTTTTTAACTTTGTCTGTTTGAGATAAATTAGAGGGTATAACTGAATTTGAATATATGAGAGTCTTTGAAAGAATATTGTGAGTTTGCAGCATATTAAAAGGTTTTATTAAAATGTCGAACATTTCATTATTTAGAAATAAAGTAAAAACTAATTTATATACATTATAAATATAAATATGTTCTCAACTTTTTGATGAGCTTGTCTAAAATCAAATGTAATTTGCTTTGTGCAGATTTTTTGTTAAATAATTGAATAAGGGCCTATCCAATATAGTTCGTTGGCCCACTGAGGGGAAGGGGGGTGACGATTTTGGAGATTTTCCTGGGGACACGACATATATACATTTATTCACAAATTCTGGAATAGTTTTCTTGGTATTTTAACAGTCCATAAATAAATAGCATATTTATATCTAGAATACTGTAAAAATAACATTCAATGTTTTGTAGGAATTATCATCGTAATGTTGCCTTGTGTTTTCAAAAGTGAACTCACTAAATATCAATCTAATGGTTGTAGTAGTAGAATTTAGTTCATTGTGTCTCCCACACGACTGTGAAGTACATTGTTTGGCTACACCAGTGGTCTGCAAATCATGGCTCGCTAGCCGTATGTGGCTCTTTAGCGACCTGACTACGGCTCAGCCAGCCGGCCACAATTTTTTTTTATCCGAAAAACATGGTTCTTGACAGGTTATCGAAAAGAAATTTGTCTCTCAAAAATATTTAAATCATCCTTTTTCTTTTTTTGGTGGGATGGGGATCAAAAGCCAGTTGCATATCAGAGGGTGGGATAATGTCCAAATAAAGTATGCATGCAACGTTGGCGGAGGTGGGGCGGAGGGGGGGCCTCGAAAATTTGACTTTTTTGTGTAAATTCTATATGGATGTCCCCTTACTAACAGCCAGTTATTTATGTAAAGATTTCATCATTTTTAGTTTAATAATTCCATTATGCATTTGAAACATATACTTTCGGATGCAATCTTTCCCTTGATTATATATTTTTAGCCAAAACTTATTCTTATACCTGGTAAACGTTTTTTTGTATTAATGTTTAAAATGTGCTATCATTCAGCTAACTTCCAATTCAGCTACTCTATATTTTATTCAGTCAGTCTGTAAACGCCTTGCAGGAAAAAAATTTCAGACATTGGCTTGGACATTTATAATTTTTGCAACTCACTTCTACTCTGTGATCTCATAGTCAGGTTCTTTGTAATTAATAGCTCAGAGTATGGCATGGAGACTTATAGAAATATGCCACTTGTATGCATCATTTGTTTTTATACATGTACACCTGAATCAAAACACTGAGCCTCTTTTAATAACGTAATTTGTACATTTTATACCGTACCGGTACATATATTTTTTGGTTAAAAAAAAAAGAAAAGCATTTGAACCTACTACTTGATAACTTTCTTCTTTTTAATATCAGTTTATTTTTTAAAAATAACTAAGACTCAACTTAAGACTTGCTTCTTGTTCTGAATTAGCAGTATAATTTCATTGTCAATAATTCTTCATTCTAAATTTAAATTAGTTTACTGCTTACTTTATTATGACTTCTTTAAAAAATTCAGAACAAATTCAAAACTTTTATTGTTTTGTAATTTAGTTTCATATTCCTTTAATTCGGCAGGAAGCAATCAACTTATTTTAACTATAATTTGATTTTTTTTTTTTTTTAAATTTTGCTGCTCCGTTTAAAATTTGTTGGTGGTTTTATTTTAAGTTGGTTCCGCTTCCTTTGAGTCAAATCTGTTAATCAATTTTTCAATCCTGTTCTAATGCACCAAATTTCTTTCACCTGCAGCATAACTATATTTCTATTATGGACCACAGCTCACATCAATCAAACCTAGTGCCATGTAAGATGCTCAAGAGTTCAAAGAAAGTTCACCTCCAGGCTTTGTTGCTTGTGAGGGACAAGCCGTGACCCAGGGATTACTTCATTGCACAATTTGTTACTGCACTAAAAAAAATATGGGATGATTGTTATGTGAATAAATAATTATAAGTTTATAAGATTCCAGTAGACTAAGAAGCATTAAAATCTTTTTAAGGTACATGGTTTTATCAAAATGCACTGAAAGTAATGCAATATTTTTTGATCATATGTGACTAACATGATATCATTGGAGCGCCCAACAAACTATTACACTTTTATTTTATGGATTGCTCAGGGATTTTTAGTTTAAAATCTCGAGAAAATTATTGAGTTACCTCACTGGGGATAGTTAATTTAAAATTCCATTAATGGATTTTACTCACTGAGATAGCTAGGTTAGCATCTCAATAAATTATGGAATAAACTTTCTGTGGTAGTTTAACATCTCGATTAAATTAGGGAGTTACCTCACTGATTACAAAATGACATGATATAAGTAATATTAGCAAACAAAATTACTTAATATTCAAGCATTGCTCTTAACAATGTGCATCTTCCTACCATACTGTTTCCTTACCATGTGTTGCCTTGGCTTTTATATCTGTCACATATGTTCAAAATTTCTGTCTGTGATAGCTAAACAAATTTATTATTAACTTCTTAGTCCAAGATCATTTGATTAAACCATGTAACTCAAAAGGATTGTTTAATTAATGTTTTTTAAATATTTATTTTATATCATTTCTGGGAGCTTTTTTAATTTTTTTGAGATGTGATGTATAGAGTACAAAATTGCAACTCTGTGCTACTGCTCCGTGCATGATCTGGCACCGTCCTATCTCAAAGCGGTCATAACGACTAGACAGCTCCGCTCATCCGATAGTGGCAAACTCTCGATAGCATGTGTTCTCCTGGAAACTTCCAGAAGGCGCACTTTCGCATTTGCCAGCCCAACAATTTGGAACACACTTCCTGACGCTCTCAGAAACAGCCAGACACTGGAGTCTTTCAAAATTGAGTTGAAAACACATCTATTTCGCAAACACCTGCTCGGTAGATGTTTTCTACCATCTTTACTAGCTGGCTATTATCTCCTAGATGTATATTGGCCTGTGCTGCTTCTGTTTGCAAGGGATCAAAGACTTAGAATAGGTATTCTCATATGTAGTTTTTTTAATGTTGCGTTTTCTTTTTCAATGTGGTATAATATAGATTTTTTTTCATTTCTCTTTTAATATGGTTGACTTTGTACCATGCTTCGAGCCTTTGGGGATGAAGCGTGATTTTCAAATAAACTTTATTATTATGTGTATAAGTTAAACCGGTAATGCTAATAAAATATAAAAATTTTGTTGTTGCATGTCATAGTTATTACTGGAAGAAATTGTGCAGCTACAGTTTTAGTGTGGGAACAAAGGCTCCAGTAGGAACAACTTGGTAGGTATGAGACGGGTCTAATTTTTGCTGAACTCAACGGCCTTAGTTTCTTAATGACTAAAAGTGCTTTTCTGTTATATTAATTATAATCCTTCATTGTGATCTGTAAACAAAGATGAGCCCTTAGAACAGCGGTTCTCAACCTGTGGGTGGCAATCTCTTTGGGGGGGGAGGGGGGGTGTGTTGATTGACCTTTACGCAGGGGTTGTCTAAGACCATAGGAAAACACATATTTATGAAGAAGCAACAAAAATAATTTTATGGTTGGGTGTCACCATTACATGAAGAACTGTATTAAAGAGTTGCAGCAACTAGGGAGGTTGAGAACAACTGCCTTAGAAAATGAGGATTGTGGCTCAAAATCAAATTTGGAAATTGTATTCGTTTTTATTTTTTAATTCTGAGGCCTGTGTTTTAATTTATTTACAATTGTAATCATCTGGTAATTTCTAAGTATCAGCCTCAGAGACAGAGATGGGGTGTATCCAATGGAATGTTCTCATAAAGAGCCTCCTGGTTACCCAGTTCGGATGGAAATAATATTAGTTTGTTTGGGCAACCAGTTTACATATTATATTTCCAATCATGAACATTTTGAAAAAAAGTTGTTTTAACAAACAAACAAAAATTTGTTTGGTCTTTTTTTTTTTTACCTAGGTACATCTACTGCTGTTGATCAATGTTACATTTTCTTCTGATAAAATAGTACATCAACTTTTGATAGTTTTTAATCAAATATGTTTTAATTAATTTATTTGTAATTTTAACCTAAGCAGTACAACTTTCTTGGTTATGAGTTTTCTAAACAAATTGTATTTAATCTACACAGTTATAAAGCATTTGTAGCGTTATCTGCACTGGTATAAACAAAGTATAGCTACTGTGCACTGGTATAAAAAAATTATAGCTAATCTGCACTGGTATGGTTTGGCTAGATAGGATCAGAACCAGTAAAATGTGTTCTGAAGTGTATCTTAAATTGTTTGTTCAACGTATATTTAACCTTAAGGACTTGTCCGATGTAAACAGAACTAGATCTACCTCCTCATATTTTTTCATCAGCCAGTATTTCAAAAGAATATTTCTTAACATCTCTGTACATATATTAATATAAATGGAGGCATGTCATGTAACTAACACTCTGCAATCCCCACCCCCCAACTCCATACTCTCTTTTAATCAGGCCTGCCTTCAATCAGTTCAATAAATTCAATTTAAATATGCCTTGTTTCTCAGTCAGTCAGTCAGTCATCTATACTTGTAATACTTGTATGCGTCTGTCATGTTGGGCCTGATCGGCTGAGGTGTGGGAGCTGGTTTGTGACTTCAGAGAAGAGATTGTTGTGTTCATGGAACATTAAAATGGGGTTGGGGGTGGGGAATTACCTCAGCATTTTGCGACCTGAATGCTTGGTTCTTTCCCCCAACATTAATTAGAT